TTCTAGGAGAAACATATTCTTGTTGAAATGAACAATGGTCACTGTTTTAAATTTGATGAGAAGAATAATTAGAATTTAAAAATCTTTGATTTTCAATCCAATCGTAAGCATCTAAAATACACATATATATCGCATTAATATAAACAGATTAGATCTCAAATAAGAACATATATACCTTTCAAACCGCATTTTTTTCTGGTTGAAGAAACTCGAGTAATAAGTTTGTTGCATCTTCTTGATGATATTCGATGTTCTTTCTTGAAGTCCTTGATAAATATGTTACTTGCTTTGAAATTTTTCCAATTTAGTTCTCTTGCTTTTTGGATTGCAAAAAGATCTAAATCAATATCATGAATTGCTTCTTTTTCAATTGCTCTTTTCACATAAAATTGATTCCACATAAATTCTTTGATGTTTTTTACTTTTTCTAATCTTGTGCCGTTCTTTTTAATATATTCTCTAAATCTTGCAATATAATACATATGTTTGACTTTTCGAAATCTATTCTTAATAGATGCAAATTTATAATTTGGATGTTCATCAACCCATTCCACTATCTTTTCCATCTCTTCTAATGTAAAATTAGTCTGAATCTCCAATGATTCATTTTCATCATAGTCACCAATATTTTCTTCATCAGTTGATTCTTCTTCATCAGTACTTTCTTCTTCATCCGTAATTTCATCATATTCATCATGAAAATCGAGACTTTGATAAGTATATAATTCATGAAAGTAATCATCTTTAAATGTCTTTAAAATTTCGAATAATTGTTGTGAAGCAAAAATTTCATCAGCACTTGTTGGTGAGTCTTCAGAGCAAAATTCCAATTGTGTTAAATGGAGAAGATGTTTCGCAATATTTATCAAATTCATTTTTTTAATCGATGAGACTAATCTTTACAAGTGTTCGTCGTAATAGAAACTACGAAACGACGTTACTTCGAATGTGCACGGGATTGATACTTATGAATACCAATCATAAAGAAACATGGAATGAATTATGAAGTGATGTATCTATGCACTTAATTTTTAGATAATTTATGCATGGATATTTTTCAAAGTAATCTTATATTCTTTTCGAACGCAGCACTGTTAAACTATAGAAGAAGTCGTATTTTAAGAAGACTAAATATTATTAGTAAG